TTTATGTTTTTTTTTTCCCTACATTTAATTTATAACTTAGTGGATCTGATTTTCTTTTTAGTTTTTGGGCATGGAAATTGCTCAATTTTACCAGAATTCTGCATTATGTTTATAGTGTAGCAAAGAAATAAAGGTGAAAAAAAGTGAATAAGAATAAGGTCATCTTCTCAAGCATAATAAAATGGAGCAAAAAAATGTGGAACTTCCATTTGGCTTTGAGACTTAATCTTGCTTGTGTATTTAAGGTTTTTGTTTTTCAAAATCTTGTGTAAATCAATAACTTTTGATATTTGGTTATCACTGTCGCCACCGGCCCGAAACGGGCTTTCGGCAATTTCGTTCTCTCTCCCATAACATCATTTTTACAAATTAATCATATATTCGTAGTTCTAAATACATATAGAATCACATAAGACCAATAATTCTCCAAACAGAAATAATTATAGAATTACTCATAATCCTAAGGGACTCTTACTCTACCCAATTCCCTCATGTAACTCTACATATAAATAATCCCCTTTTCTCCTGTACCTAGATAAATAGCAATTGAAACTAAAACAGAGATTTCCTTGGTCTCCTCCTCTAAGTGCCCCTCGGTCTTCAGAGAGTGTAGAAGGGAAAGAAGAGAATGTAGAAGAAAGAAGTCAGAATTGAAAAATATGATTTTGGGAGTGCCAGAACACTTAATTTATAGGCATCAGGATTTGCTGAACGGCCCGTTTCAAATTCGGAATGGCTCGTTCTGAAATCTCACGTCATGTGTAAAATTCACATCCATAATGACCCGTTCTCAAACCAGAACGGCCCGTTCTGGGGTTACAATTAAACCCATAACGGTCATATTTGGAATGGGCCGTTCTCATCTCTGGAACGGCCTGTTCTCATCTTTGGAACGCCCCGTTCCAATCTAGGGTTATAGGTCATTTTGGTGGTTTAGAACGGCCCGTTCCAGTTTGGGAATGGCCCATTCTGGGCTACCAAAAATAGGTCTTTTTAGTAGTTTGGAACGACCTGTTCCAATTTAGGAACGACCTGTTCTGGGCTACTAAATCACCCCCTAAAAATTACTAAAGTACTCTCAATAAAAGTATAAAAATTGGGGTGTTACAATTCTCCCCTCCTTTATGAAATTTTTTCCTCGAAATTTTCCTGAAAACAACAATGGGAAAACTCCTCACATCTTGTTTTCTAATTCCCATGCAACCTCACTACCTTATTGATGTACAACTCTAACAATTTCTCCAAGAAATCAAATAAAGGTAAGACATGTAAACTCGGTGAGTCTATCCACTATAACCCAAATAGTATTGAATTTCTTAAGCAAATCAGGCAAAACTACAACCAAGGTCTATTCACACACTATCTTACTTCTAAAATGGGACGTCCAAAGGCTGTAAAATTCTAAAGACTTCTAGTGTACTAAACACGAGTACATAAATTACTCTACGTCTCTCTTCACCTTAGACCTCCACGCTTCCGTTGCACCACTCTAATACATCTTAGTAGCTCCTAAATGAATGCTAAGAGTACTCTTATGTCCTTCCTCTACGACCATCTTCCTTAATTCAGGATTACTAGGCACATGGATTCTATCCTTGAACCCCTAAAACACCATCAACCACCACTTGTAAGGGCTATCTGTACCCCTACCATTCCTCTCCACTTGGTTCACTAAGAAAAGATCTAACTCATAGGCTTCTCTAATCTCATTCATTAATTCACTAGTCGCTTTTGACATACTTAATCCAATGCTCTTAAGGGTGAGCTTACACATCCACTTAAGTTTCTAACCTCCTCAATCAAATCCAACACTTAAATCATCAAAAACGATAGATGAATGATCATCCTACTCAAGGCATCTATCACAATATTAGCTTTACTTCTATGACCCTCTCTAAAGATCAAACACCTAAACATAAGTTCACTAGGTACACATACTCGGTCTCAAAGTTTTACTACTTCATCTACACCTAAAGCATACTTTTATCCATTACCTTGTCCTATAGCCTCATATCTTGTCACCAAAATGAATCAACTAAGTATGCTTCTCCAATTTCTTTCAACGATCCACTCGTTACTCGAGTCATACCTAGTTTCACACTACTAGGAGTAATCTCACATGTCAAACTTAAATTCCTAATTTGAGCCAAAAGATCCATCTATCTAATTATAAGGGAAGATAAATATAAAGTTTCCTACTCAGAATACTGGTCACCATATTGGCTTTGCTCAAAGAACAAATAAGATCCAAATCTTATTCCTTAAGAAATTCCAACTATTTCCTTTGTCTCATATTCAACTCCTTCGGGTCAAACAATATTTAAGGCTCTTACGATTACTAAATACCTCAAGCTTAGAATCATATAGGTAATGTCTCCAAATCTTAGTATAAATATCACAACCGCTCACTCAATGTCATGGGTAAGGTAATTCCTCTCATGAATTTTCAATTTCCTAGAAGCATAAGCTACTACCGTTCCTTCTTGCATCAACACTCCACCCAAACCTATCTTAGAAGCACTACTATATACCACATAAGACTTACTAAAATTCGGTAACACTATCCAATCTTTCCCTTAGAGTTTGGAAACTATCTCACACTATCCCACACAAAGACAACACTCTTCTTAGTCAATCTAGTCAAAGGTAATGATATCCTAGAAATTTTCTCAATAACTCTCCTATAATAATAAGCTAATATAAGAAAACTCTTATCCTCACTAATTAACTTTTGGTATCTCTCATTTAATCACAACTTCTACCTTAGGTAGAACTACGTTATATCTCCTCTAGAAATTACAGGACCTAGAACATTCACCTCATACAATCAAAATCACACTTTAGATAACTAGCATAAAACTGTCTGGTATATATCCTCATCCTCAACTCTAATTTGATGATATCACATCCTAAAGTCAATCTTACTAAACACACAAACATTCACTAATCGATCCATAAAGTCATTTATCCTCATATCAACACACATGCATATCGAATCATATTAGAATACCTATTTAAACATTCATATATACCATTCCTAAGCATATATGAATCAATCACCATTTACTCCATATAGCATGTACATGAACCAACTTTACCACATAGCATCATACTATCTTAAACAACCTCTTAATCTACATGAAAACACCTCAGAACATCATAACCAAATCAGTTTTTATCCTTGCATTGCCTAACAACTCAAAACATCATGACACCATACGTATGCCTTCAACAATTGCCAAAGAGAATGATACCTAGAGAGTTATACTCATCCAAATGATCTCAAACTTATCTTAAAAGAAAGCTAAGAGAATAAGCTACAACCCTTATGAAGACATGAGATTCTAAAAAGATTATCTTCTTGGCTAAAAATTCAAAAACCACAACAAATATATTCAGCGCTAACAACTAGACTTCTAATCACCAAAGCAACTATAATTGTAGTTTTAAACCTTCGTTTTACCTGATTCCGGTGCCATTAGAAAGATAACGTCCAAGGCTACAACTTTTATGAAGACCACAAATTTTAATTCTGTCAATATAACACTTGTACTGGCACAACAAAACTGTAGTGCTAACATCCCCTACACTAGACAGCAATAGTGTATCAACACCTAAGCCCACGAAAATATCTTGATCCTTCCAAACCCACTCCTTTCCACCACAACTAATATCCAAGTTTACCACTACAATCCTAAACCAAAACAACTCACATATTCATCACAAAAGACTTAGAAAATAAAACTCATATGCTACCTAAACCATAAAAGGTTAATCTGCATGCATCAAACTCAAAGAAATCACCAATACTTCAGCCTCTCATCAAGAACACTCAAAACACTAATTCTCAACATACAACCTCTTGGATTTAATCACTAAAACTATAGATTTCAGAAACTCTATCAACCCTAAACACTCAGTACACTCGACAATTCAATATCTCACCCACATCCAAGGTTCCAATATTTTCTAATTTATTAGGACGATACTTCGTCCACTACTACTTGCACCTATGCTCACAACACGAGCGATACCACCCAACCACTAATTCTTACATAACCAAGAAGTATCAAAATAAATAAGGAATCATGAAAATGAAGAAAAACAATCATAAATAGCATCCTCTAAGCTATATCATGTCTATCAATCAAATTCTAAGAAAACAATACACATAATTTAAATAAACAACAAACAAAATTAATCATCACACTATCACACTTATAAGCTTCACAATCAATGCATTCCATCATTCATCTACCAAACAAGCATAGTAGACTCATAACTCACGGCCGATTGGATCGACCTGCTCTGATACCACTAAATGTGACACCCTTACTACCCCAACACATATATCGTAATAATGTAATTAAACTAAGGAAAATAAACTTTCAAAGTTGGTAAAAGGGTTCACATAAAAACCTTCACAAATGTTCTTCAATATCCAAAATGATTGAAAAATGAACATCGGAAAATAAAACATAAGAGTCTACAAATTATTTTTAAAAATAATAAATACAACTCCAAGTCCATATAAAAATTCCATATCCTAGAATTTTCTGCCCCGAAGTCACAATATCAAAGCACATCCACAATTCAACTGTTGGCATCCTAGATGCCACTCAAAGCCGGATCTTCCTCACCTAAAACATCCACAAATTGTACGGTGAGAAAAGAAAGCATCTATATATAAAGCACATAAGGAAAACGCAACATATCGTCTCATTATAACTATATACTTAATAAAATATTCATAAACATTTCAAAATATCATAACTCGATCAATCATGCATCATTATCACGTCATAATTCGCAATCACACCAATCATCACAAATCTTGCACTTCACACTATGCCAAGGTCACGTTACCCATTTAACAATCCAAGGTCATGCTCACCCTTGATATAACACTGTGCAAGGTCACGTTTCCCCTGTAGCATATCTAGTCCCAGGTCGTGCTCACCTCCGACATGTTATCCAAGGTCACAATACCCACGTAACAATCCAAGGTTGTGCTCACCCCTAATATAACACTGTGCCAAGGTCACGTTTCCCATGTAGCATATCTAGCCCAGGGTCGTGCTCACCCCTGACATGTTATCCAAGCTCACGATACCCACATAACAATCCAGAGTCGTGCTCACCCTGATATAACACTGTGCCAAGGTCACGTTACCCCTAACCTAGGGTCGTGCTCACCCCTAACATGTTATCCAAGGTCACGATACC